CCATTGCTAATAAGTATCAGTAGACATCTTGAAAGGAGGAATCAGCCTGGCCTTAATTCCAGATTTTGACACTCCACACACCCCAGTGACTGACTAGTTGGAAGAAGGATTATAGAAGACATATTTCAGGAAAATTTTAGAAGCAACTTTCCTAAGATTTAAAAAAATGCTTTGAGCGATAGCAAAAATAAAATGTTTAATTGATATTAGCTTATTAATGCACAGTGATCGTAATGGGGTTAAAAAAAAGAAATACGTGTGCCTTTTTAATGCTATTGCCCACAGGAAAAATCAGATTAGACTGCAGAATTCCCTCCCTTTCCTGAGAAAAGGAAAATAAAATAAAAATTAAACCAAACCAAAAATAACAACAACAAAAAAAATAAAACAAAAAAGACTTCTTGACTACACTTACAAGTGATTAAGAGGGAAAGAAATAAAACTGAGTCTTGCTTTTTCTAATCCTGGAATTTGCATAGGACATAGATACTGGGCTCATGGAACCTCAGAAGGACGAAAATTCTCACGTTACTTTAGATAGAACAGCACTGACATGACAGGAAAAGCTCTGTTCTTAGTCCTCAGGATTCACTGCTCATCTTCAATAGATTTTTTTCCCTTCTCTCTAGGACAGAGGATTTTAGAGGATCAAATTTTATGACTTCTCAGATCCTGCAAGCAAACAGATTTTCCAGATAGACACTGTGAGCTATAAATCTCAGGTTGTTTGGAGACCAGACACAGGGAAAGCACAGGCTGTTTTTGAATCCCAGAATACTACTTTGTGCACATTTCTTTCTTGGCCATGACACCCTAAATGACAAAAAAATCATTGAGCACTCAGGCTGTCTATATTTTACAGGCGTTTCAGTGCTCTTAGTAGAAGGAGAACATTTTATAAGCTCTGGATAAAAACCTAGAAGTCATACAGGGTTTTTTTCTGTGCTTATGCATTCAAATTTGCTTTTAATAACAGGGAACAGAAGCTTATGTTCTTCTCTTGTTTTTGTTTTTTTTTGGTTTTTTTTGTTTGTTTTTTTTTTTTTTAACTCAAAGTCCTTATTGCTTAAACACTTCTAAACTGGATCTAATTCTAACGTAACCTAAACCTCTCTAAACTGACCTAGTCCTGAGCCCCAATTTAACATGAATCAGGGCTGAACTGATGAATTTAGCAGCAAAAAAAGACCAGTAAGTAGGGAAGAAGAGAGGGAAAAGGAAGAGAGGCAAGTTTTTTATAGGAGGTTAAAGGAAACATTTTAGTCTGGAGAAATATCACAGACAAGAGTGAGGATTGCACAGCTGCGTCACTTCCTCCTAGCCCTTCGGGAAAAACAAGATGAAAACAAACAAGGCTGGAAAGGAGTTTGAATCAACAGACCACCAAAAGCCAGGGAAAGCTGGCACACCCCCTGTGCTGTATCCTCCATACATTGCTGCTCAGCTGGACAACAGAAGCTCTTTCTCATGGAGCATCCCGCACAGGCCAAGGCTAAGGCTGAGGCTCAGGCTGAACTGTGACTTCCCTGGATTCTCCCCTCTCTCTGCTCCCACCCTCACCCATGGTGTCAGGGCACTGCTTGCCCTCAGTGAGGGGTTAGCTCTGACTAGCATTGGGAACATGATTGTCCTGACCTCAAACTTCAGCACTGGCCTAATAAAAGGAGCCCAGGGGACAAGGACTAAGTTACATCTTCACCAACTGTCCCTTGAGCCTAAAGCTGAACTGCTCCCCACCCGTGAGGTGATCATTAACAACGAGGCACTGTCACCACTGTATTATTGTCACCAGTATTATTCCCTCCTAAACCGTGTGAACCACCTGGCTTGCCAAGGAGGGTTGTGCACGCATGTGTTAGTTAGATATGCAGAGCTGGCATGCTCTGGTGTATACATATGGATGTACAGGCTATATTCCATATTTCTTAGCATCTGACAGAGAATCTGCAGCCAACTGTTGCCATTCTGTTGGCTGCCACCTGCCTGTTTATACCTGGAAGTCTCAGAGCATACACTCTTTCACTGAAGACATTGCATAAACATTGGTCTCTGTCAGAGGCATGCAAATTACAAGAAGAAAATTCATTAGGATGCTAAAAATACTTCCTAAAAATATCAGGTGGGAACCTAGGTATTAACAAACTGCTCACAATACTTCAGCAGCAATGCAAGAAGACTCCCAAATGGAAAGTACCTTACAAACTTTTCCAGTGTTTTGACAAATGAAGAACCAAGGATTACTTGGCTTAACAAGAAATTCACATGCTGTTCAGACACAGCCTACTGCTTTTCAGCATAACCACACAAATGTAAGTCGTGGCAGATAAAGAAGGGAAGGGGACTGAAAACAACTTTGAGAAGTGCTTTGTAATAATCATTCTCAGTTCTGGTTCAAGAGAACTCATCTCTTCCTGGGTTTGAATACTTCATATGTAAACAATGCAGTCAAACATTTGATCTTCATTACCATTATAACAGCCATGATAATTAACATCACTGTAATTAATGGTGTATTATAATGAAGTACAGAATCAAAGAACATTAGGACCTTTGGAGGTCACCCAGTCATATCTCCCTGCTCAAGCATGGTCACCCACGACAGGCTGTCCCAGACCATGTCCAGAGAGGTTTTAAACATCTGCAAAGATAAAGACTCAACAAGCTCTCTTGGTTATCTGTTCCAGTGCTCAAAGTAAAAAAATGTTTTCTTATGCATAATTTTTTTTTTCTATTTATAAAGTTTTTTCCACAGAAATGCTGTTCTTATGCTTTCAGATTATCATATATACAGACTAAATTCCTGTCTGTAATTTCTATGCATGAGAAGCTGAAACCATTCATAATCCCTTTTAAAACAAGACAACCTTTATGATATGAATGCCTGTTTCCACCACGAACACAATCATTATTTCAAGATAATACCTAAGTACCTACAGGATTGCTTTTCCCTGCAGGTTGACATTTAAAGTTGCTCTGGTTAGACTATTGTTCAAGTCAGATAAATTCCCCTTTATTAGAGGAAGAGAGATTAATCTTCTTTTTTCTTTTTTTAATCTTTGCACACATAAACTTGCATACATATTGCCTGATCAAAGCAAATATAACTGCATATATTCATTATCATCTGTTTGCAGTAAGTATTCTATCGGCATAACTTAATCTAAGCACTTGATTTATTAAGTGTTTGATTGAAGCAGAAAGTTTTTTACCATATTATTTACATTTTGAGTATGCCTATCTGTGCCAAAGTTGGTTTTAAAAATTGACTTTAGAAAAGTTTTACATTCCTTACATTTTTTTTTTCAGAAATATATGTCCCTAATACCAAAAGCTCAACTGTACTGAAACATTTTTTTTCTAGACATATCGCCTAAGGAAAAACCCACCATATTTTTCAATACAAAGTTTTATATCAAGTTTTAATTATTTATATGTTGTTTTCATATGTCTATGTGTGATTCCCCCAATATTAAACTTGAAAAGTTTATGACAGCCTATTCCAAGAATTATATGAGAGTTATCAGTATATTAAAAGTATAATTAAGAAATAGCAACATATGAATAGTTCCACATACATTCATTAAGACCAGAGACCATCTAATCTCAGAAACAATGCTAATTATACCCTGTATTTTGTCCTTCATTGCTCTCACAATCTTCATGGCTTTGTGTACAGGTATTTTTGCACATGTGATTTCTCCCTCACATGATTCATTCCACAGTTTCATTACTAGTCTCCCTCTTCCTTCTAGATTTCAAAGTAGTTTTCTTGTGCTATTTTATTTTAGTTTACTTACAGCTGTCAAATGGAAATAAAGTGATGAGACAAAGTTTTGAATAATAATCAACATAAAAACCTGTGTGCTGATACAGTTATTTATTTCCTTGACTGTGGCCTGATTCAATCTTATTCTGATTGAGAACATTCCCTAGAGGGTGCATAATTCTTTGACTTTAAGATTTTACTTTCTATCTGTCAAGAAACTTTTTGCATTTAATCTACATAGCATACATTAATTAGCTAATAGGTAAGTATTTTAATTGTTTGAGAACTCATGTTGTCAGTTCCTCCTTATATGCTGAGACAGAATCACACAATATTGGGTCTTTTTCTTAAACTGAGGACCAAAAAGAAATATTTTTCACGCTTTACAAAAAAGTACTGAGAAATAAAACTAGCAGTATCTCAAAACATTAATAGAAACTAACATTTAGAATTTCTGGCTATAATTCAGACCTTTTATATGTAGCACAAAAATTCAGAAGGGTGAATTTTTTTTTATCATCTCAGTTGGCCTGACTGTAGGTCTTAAGGCACCTCAGATGTTGCTCCCATGACTACCATGCCAAGAAAGAATTAAGTTGATCAGAGCTATGCTAACTTTAGACAACCCATGGAAATATTATAGCCCTTTTGCTTGTTTTACAGAACCACCACAGAGGTTTCCCTTTTAGCTATCAGAAGAGGGGCAGGTTTTGTTAGCTGAGAACTGTTTTGGGAGTCCTGGATTCATGACAAAGGAGCATCAGGTGGGCAAAATTTGAATGGCTTGTAGTAGTTGAATATGGGAACCATGCAACTCAGAAGACATCTGCATTTTGCCATGGTCCAAAATTGCTAAATTCAGCAAGACCCGGGAACATCTACCTCCTGCAAACAAGCTTCTATTCATCAGTTAACTTCTATGCCATTCTTCTTTGATGGGCAGTTCCCCTTTATGCTGCTTGGATTGAAATTCACCGAGGACTGAGACAAGTCATTGACTTAAGCAGATGCTGACAGCTGCTTTAAGAGAGAGCTTCTCCAGGCACTTCCTCTGAGCTTCCATTGATATAATTCATTTCTAGTTTTTGAAGCTAAAACAGGTGTTATCACATTCCCTTTGAAAAAAGTTAATTTCCGAACATTAATCCAATAAACACAAAAAAGACAAGGCTAGAGTGTAATTTATCCCTTAACCATAGAAGAAAAGGAAGAACTATTAGAGAATAATCCATACCTTGTGCCGTAATCTTAATAGGGGTTGATAGGGCCTGAAGTCATATCCTTCCTTGACTGGCCACCCATCTGCTCCCAGCAAAATGCATCCAAGAAGTAAAACAGCAGACCACCACATAAACATCTTTACAGGTCTGTTTCTGTGAAAATAAAATGTACAAGTTCAGAGATACAATATTACTTTAGCATAAACTGTATAATAAAGGCTTACAATACTGATAAACCAATTGTGGACTTCAATAAATGCAGTAGATATAGGACAATCTATCTGGCACAACAGCAAAGAGAAAAAATGGTAGTAGTATTTGGGACAGCAGTATCAATTCAGTTGTGCTGAACCAAGAATTTTCTTATCACTATTCAATACTCATATGAAGGAGTCACTGAGGAAACAACCACAAAAAGTCAAAGAAAAGACAGAACATAAAAGAAAAGCAGTGGCGAAAAATGCAATCATTTTTCTCAGATGAAAGAAAAAAAATTATCATCAATCACATGTTCATCAACTTTTTATTTCAAACGTGGTCTCTTGTGATGCACTATTCACAACCTAAAAGCTTATAATAATCAAACTCACAGATTTATAGATACATATGGCATGAGAGTTACCTTGTATGGTTCCTAATGGATGTACACATATACATTATGTACGTGGTTTCAGAACATTTTAGAGATAGACAATATTTATTATTGATAGTCAGCATTTGTGTTGAAACCATCATGTTAAACAGATAACACAGCAAACTGATCTTCATTACTTCAAGATACTCCCAAGTCAGTCTGCTAGTCTATATTATTTAGTCCTACATTATGGGGCAGAGATGAGCCACTTTCATGCATGAGTGGAGGGTTTTTTTCCCTTTCTACTTTGCTTTTAGCTCACTTAGCCTGCCAATATAGAAACTTCTGATAAGAATCAAGATATACAGGAATAAGTACAAAACATCATAAGAGTGCCCTAGCAGCCCAGACTGTGCACTGAATTTTCAAGTCTTGCCTGACATTTTCTTTTCTATGGGAAATCATCTGAGCATAAAATGTGAACAAATTGGGGATCACTTATTATCCTGTATCATTTACAGTCTGCTCCTGGCAATACTGTTACACAAACTGTGGTTTTGATTCCTATCATTCCTCACATAGCAGTAGTCTTCACAGTCACCTGAAGGCAGAGAGACTGAATAGAATTAATTCCTGAGCAAATGGACTCTACTCTTAACCTCTATTCACAGGCTCAGTAACAGATCCTGCTTAAGTCTGCCACCCTTCCTTGGGGACTACTCTACCAAATTTGGTAAAACCACTGAAAGGTCTGTTTCATCCTCATTCCAGCTGATTTTTACCAGCCTGCCTTGCCTTCACACTTTTAATTCAAACAAAAGCTTGACATTAATATACCATATTACTTCGACATCACTTACCTTTTGTTCCACCGAACCCAATCTCATTCTGGCTCTCCCTATTAATCAAACTTAACATTTCATCTCATTTATCATTACTTTTTCCAACAGTTTCCACTTCAATTACCTTTCTTTGTCACTCCAGCCTTTCTAATATACATAGTAGAAGTATCTCTCTTAGGAGAGCTTGCACAGAATTCATTAAGCAGAGCATTATTTGAAACATAGAAAACAAGCTCTATTATAGAGGGATATTTTATATAAATAACTTGAGGTTTGTTCTTCTACACCTGCTCAGTAACAGGATATTATAGTGAGGATAGGAAATGACACAGAGAAATTTTCTTCTTAAGTTCCCCTCAATCTTCCACCAAAACAAGAAGAGCTAATCAGGTGTTCTGGTGGATCTTTGCTATGGGATTATTAAAACTAATCTAGTTTACTGACATGAAACATCAAAAAAAAGACTGCTTCAGACCTCTGAGGATTCAAGTACACTATGGTATGGCATTTTCCTTCACTAACTATGTGTTAGTTCTCAGTATCAATGTTACTGGAAAAGTAAGTCCATCTAAAAAAAAATTGGAAAAAAAAATGAAAAATCAGAATCTTGATTTTGAATCTCAAAGAAAATATCTATTTGTTCTTGTTGAATTCTTAAAAAATATTTAATTGTTGGCTTTCAAGGTCAGAATCAGATTAGTTTAGCACTTGTGCATGCTAAGAACCTGGTTGAACCTTTGTCCCTTTTGTGCACTTCTGGAATACTTCTCTGAACAATGAAAATTTGGTTGGAAAACAGTAATTTCACAGAAGGCTGTAAGAGCAGCCACATTCCACCACCCTCCCACATACTGAACATATTTTAGTCTCATGTGGTGTAAAAGAATAGAGTCCTTATGGCTTTGAAAATTGGTTGACCTTGAAAGGCTTATGCTTTGTACTTGTACAGAAGAGAAAATTATTACATGCTCAGTTTCTGACTTCACTGCCTGATACTTGGATGAACACTTACAACAGAAATTTAAAAAGTAAGCCTTTTGGACAGATGGCACCCAAAATCCAAAAAGTATGCAGGGCCTATGCAGTTATTTTTTGCCTTTTTAAAATTTAAAATATCTACTTTTTTTAAGTAGCATACATATTCTATTTAATTTTTTTAATATCTTAAAAGATTATTTATTTTAAAATTATTACCAAAACCACAGTCTCCTTAATACAGTACTATTATAAAGCCCTTATTTTAAGAGAAAAAATATGATCTGTCCTAAGAACTTACATTGTTAAAGAGTTGAACTAAGATCAGGAATAAAAATGACTTCTCAAAGCCTCATTACAACTGCTGCATATAGCTGAACATAAAGAAATAATGCATCAAGACTACATATTCATGTTACCTAAAATTGCTTCTTTCTCATTTCTACTTGAAGGTACAGCCCAAGTTATATGCAGAGGGTTTTAAATTTTGTTTTAATATTGTATTATCTAGAAATCAGATTTTTTTTTAAAAAAAATTGTTATATCATGCATTTTGGGGCAAAATTACATATTTCTGAACTCAAATTTGCATTAATGATCTAGACCCTCTACTCATTATTATAATCTAGCAGAACTTGATGTTTCAGTGTTCAGATAACATTCTTCTGTATTTTTAACTTCATTAATTATGTATTTGTAAAATAATCACTTCTAAGTTATTATTATATGTCTACGTTTACTTTCACTGAAGACTGTTGCTTCTTTGTATTCATATAACCATGTTTGGAAATCTGATGAGTTTACTTGGCTTACTCTCTCTTTAAGCAGATACCAGTCTGTATCTCTGCATTTTTCTGTTTCTTTCTCTGCACATTTCTCACTTATAATATAGATTATAGGTTAAAATGCAAAGAAAAACTTAAAAATTATAAAATATCCCAGTACATATTTTAACTGTACATATTTTAACATATATATGTGGTTTTTCTGCCAGTAAACACTGAACTGAAATTCTTAAGCAACTACTAGCACTAATTCCATATCATCCATCCTATTAATGCAAACAGTTAATTTACAGCTACTCATTGCATGTAAATAATCAGGGGGTGGGCTGCCCCCCCCCCCCCCCCCCCCCCTGCCCCCCCCCCCCCACTGCATACAAATAAGTAGGGTGTTGCGTTTCTTTCTTCAGTGCGCATTAATTTTCTTATTAACAACGAGCTTAATGCACTATTTTAGAGCAAATTGATCAATGTTGTAGAAGTCATATGTGTTGTTTGTCATCCTTAGATTTTCCTCATGAGCTGACGAGGAAGGATGTTGACTAGATAATGGTTGCTCCTTATTTCTCACTGTACAGTAATTTTGTGAGTATCAAATTTAGATTTTCCTTTCTGATTCACAGAAGACTCTGCCATTTCACTTTTTAGCCCATTTCCAGAGCATTCATGAATCTGATGCACTCTGCAGTTTTCTCACTATTGACTACTTTCCATTTCAGTTAATTCTGAACTGTTTTTTATAAATTATAATCCATGAGAGGATTCTTTTATTCTGTGTCAAGTTTATACCTTAAAACTCTTGGATAAGAAGCACTGCTGGGAGAACTATAGCTTCTGAACTGACAGAAGGAATACCTTAGGATATCTCACTTGCCTTATTTAGGTAAGGGAAATGGGACTCTTAAATAATTTTCAGGGAATTTTTTTTAAGCAAAGAAAACTTCATGAAAAGTTCACAGAGTTTCCACCATCACCCTGATGATCAGATAGTCACTGCTGAGTTAGAGACAATTTCTTATAATTCTTGAGGAAATGTAATGCAAACCTATATCTCCCATTTCTCTCCTGCTAGAACTTTTCCAATACTTCATGGAAAACAAACTAAATCTCAGTTCTGACACCTTACTTATGAATATCTAATAATGATTAATATATTCTACAATACCACTGTTTCCTCTCAAAGTTATTATGATTTCTAAAGCTTCTCAGCTGTTCAGTGGTAATATAAATTTTGTTCTTTGCCTAACTTTTTCTTGTTGGACTAGGAAAGAGTTTGCTACTATGAGAGTTTAGCAAATGCATAATAAGCACTACTTTACCTGTCCCCATGCTGTAATCTTCACAGATAAGACTGAAAAGATATTTTACACAACCAGTTCCAAATGTGGCAATGTGTATTCACAGTGTACTAAAAAATATAAGTAACGTAACCTGGTTTAACCATACTTTATATAAAGAGTTAAAACATATACCCAGTTACAAGAATGCCCTATTTTGAAATGCATACATATTTAAAATTAAAAACTGCCATTTTTAAAGCTCTTTTTTTTTTCCCCCAGAATTTCTCAGCTGTTATGCTCTGTTCTGTGTTGATAAATGGTGACTAGCCAGGATATTTGGCTATAAGAGAAGAGATATAATTCATTTGAAAACATAAATATTCCACCTCAATAAACTGATATGATCAACTTAACACTCCTACAAAGTATAATAAATGAAATCTTAAATAATAGCCCAATCACTGCATTCCTCCTGCCTTTAAAAGAAAAAATATATCAGATATTAACCTGGAATTATTTAAAAGGTCAACTTCAACATATCAAGGAGTACCACAGGAAATGTCAATCTCTGTCTTTTGGATATTATTAATCTGAAAATAAATAAGAATAAAATTAATTGTCTGTTTTGTGGGGATCAGAAAAAAGACCATAAGCTATGTCACCATATTCAGTGTTATTAATAGG